CTGAGAACTAGGAACACCCCCTCCCAACTTCCTTCCCTCCCTGTCAATAGCATTAGCAGGGACAAAGAGGGAATGCTGGCTCCACATCTTCTCCTAGACTGGGCGCCAGCTCTGCTGGGCACCAGGCCACCTCAGGCTTTCTTACTCAACTACACCTCCCAGCAGGCAAGGTGACCTGGGCACAGGGCATGCTGGGACTTGTAGTTTCCACCTGCCATAGCTGGCTTAGTACTGTTATGGGCACTCTAGGCATTCTGTCCATCCCTCTGCCTCTTATCAGTCACAAGGGTATTGTGGGGCATTTTTCTTGTGAGCATGGGAGGGTCCCAACCTCTCTTAGCACTCCCTCTGATTCCAGTCATACCTTCTGCGCCTCGTTTTGCAATCATCCTCTCCCTGGTTTAGACATCATGTAGCACTCTCAGGTTCTATACTATGTGCCTTACCTCTTCGTCTATCCCCACCCAGCATTTCCCTGCAGCCCCAGTATCAAAAAATTTCAGCTCTGATCTCTCCTCCACAGCCTCCCAGACTCCAAATGGCCGAGCTGGAACCCCTCCTTTCTCTGAGCTCAGACAATGTGGATGGGCTGGAGAAGGATTAGGATGATGGGTGGGTAGGAGTCAGGAAACAGTCCCAGTTGCTGGAAAACAAACCCACATTGTCTCCCTGCCTCACCCCCAGCATCTCTAATTCCCCCGGCCCCACCCCAACCCCTAAAGGCTGAGCTGGCTGGTTTTCCTGGCCACTGGCTTCCTAGATAACGGTCTTTGCCAGCTGAGCTGGAAAGTGAAATGTGCTTAGGAGAGAGCTGCAAACTTCTTGTAGCCAACCCCATCTTCCTAGAGCCCAAAGAAAGGGGAGGTTTATTCCTGGATTCAGGGTAGGGGGCTTCCCAGTCCACAAAGGTACCTGGGAGATCAAACCTCGTTCATTGTGGATTTCCCTCAGGGTGATGGCTTACACTGGACGGGCTGCCTTCTTGGTGGGAGGTCAGGATAGGGGAAGAAGCAATTTAAACTGCATCAAACTTGCCCTCTGTTTTGACCAATGTCCAGTCAGCTGGCTCCGGAGCGGATATACCACTGTGACCTTAGCTTTTCCCCTCAATGACTGGATTTTCTCTTTTCTCCCCCTTTCTAGGCCAGGTTTCCCTCATGACTCAAAACCCTGGAGTGCTGTCTTGGGCCGACTCAGTGTGCCTGTTGCTATAGCAACCACCAACACAATCAGAAAGCACACCCCTCCCCCAACCCTGGGCACACAGGCCAGGCACACTTGTCCCACTCCCACTTCCCTGGCAGAGTTCCTAAGCCAAAGGAGGGGTCGGGGGTGGGAGGGCGGAGGCAAGGAGGGAGGGCCCTGCGGCCCTGTTTGTTCTGTTTTTCCGTTTTTATTAAACAAAACCACCACTCCCAACAGGCTTGTTTTCCAGAATTACCTTTAATGACCCGTTCTGAACAAAAGCATGCACAGCCCCCCTACCCCGCCCTACCCCGCCCCACCCCCCCCCGCCCTGCCTGCCAAGCACACACAGCCTCCCAACCCAGGAAGGATCTAGGGGAGCCCCAGGGAGGTACCCATCTCCTTTCTAAAATCCATCCCACCCCCAGCCATCCTGCAGAAACTTAAGCCCTTCTGGTTTACAAAGAAGATTGTTACAAGATTATAATTTAACTGAGCACCTACTATGTGCCAGGCCCCTGGCCAGGCACTTCACATTTGTCAGGGAGAAGGGACAAGTGCCACATGAGTCTGGGCAGGAGACTCTCTTGACTTAGAGCTAACCTGCTCTGTCCCCGACCACTGCCCAGGAATAGTCAGAGAGGACTTTGGAAAAGTGGGTAACTCAGAGCCCCAGGATCTGCTTAGAGTTCATCAGAAGAGGCTGCAGACTGCGGGAGGTTGAGGGTGGGTAGGAAGGTCTTAAAAACTCAGGGTCTCCATTTCCATTGCCAAGACGAGGGAGTGAGAGACTCCCCCCAAGAAAGGCAAGCAGAAGGGTCTTTCCCTTCTGCTATAGCACACTTTCCCAAGAAGGCAAACATTGATTCTTGCAGGGGAGAAAAAAATTCTTAGATACTATAATGGTGTGTGGCACAGTACGTAAACAGATAAGCAGTATATTCATAGTATTAAAATTTCATGAGGAAGGGGGACAATCAGGAACAAAAATGTCTAGGAAGGCTTCTCTGGGATAATGAAAAAAAAGTTGAGAAACACTGGGCCATAGGGAAGCCAGAGGGTCCCCCCTTCTGGCTTCTCTGTGTTGGCAGCTTTTGGGTGCCCCGCCCAAGGCAGGATCTGGCAAACATAAGGGAACTCTTCGCAAAACATTTTCTAAAAAAACTGGAAAAAATAAGTGTAAATGTTTTCCCCAGCTACAAGGAGGGGGTGGGGAGGGCATAGAATAGACCCCAGGCCTGGGCCTCATGAGGGCCCTCTCCAAAGAGGCTTTGAGCCAAACTGGCCCTTCCCTGCAGAGGAGGCAGGAGGGGGAAGAGAAGGGGCTCAGAAGCCATGGCACAGTTTCATGCAGCTTCATGCAGGGCAGCATTTGGGTGCAGCTCGAGTATGGTGTTTGGAGAGTCTACTGTTAAGACAGAAACCAAGGGAAGGGAAGAAAGGGGGCTCCATCCCTTACCACCCATCCCCACTGCACACACCACAGTCACCTGAACTCTTCATAGCACACGGTGTTTTCACAATACCCAGCGCCCACCCGCAAGGGGCAGTGGCTTGGAGGAGGACGTCAGCCCAGCACTGCCCACCATTAAGTAGTGAACTGCTGGTGGACTGGAGTGACACCACAAGCCCACGGCCCCACTGTCCCAAGAAACCCTACACACTCCCACTAGATGTCGGCTCCTCTGAGGTGGACAGAGGCCCCGGCTCTGGGTAACAGGGCAGTGTCCTAGGCATCTGGTCAAAGGGTGGGAGTTCAGGCATTGTCTCAGGCTTCAGATCAAAGGGCTTAGTCTCAGGCAGAAGGTCAAAAGGCAGGATCTTGGGTGTGGCCAGGTCAGAGGGTGCATTCAGCTTCTTCTTGGGCTAAGATGAGGAAAAGGGGTTTAAATGGGACTTGGGATGGGTGAAAATAGGACGGGCTGAGAGGAAGAGACCTTGGTGGGCATGCAGAGATGGGACTGGTGAGTAAGGAGGGGGAGATGGGGTACTCCATGTATTAGGGTGGAAAAAAAAACACACTTTAGTGTTTCATCAAGAGGGCCCTGCGGCTGAAAGGGGCGGGACAAACCCAAACCCATGAACTAATGAACACAACCTAAACAGTGAACCCACTCCCTTTCTCCC